ATTATTATTATTATCATTATTATTATTATTATTATTATTATTATTATCATTATTATTATTATTATTATTATTATTATTATCATTATTATTATTATTATTATTATTATTATTATCATTATTATTATTATTATTATTATTATTATTATCATTATTATTATTATTATTATTATTATTATTATCATTATTATTATTATTATTATTATTATTATTATTATTATTATTATTATTATTATTATTATTATTATCATTATTATTATTATTATTATTATTATTATTATTATTATTATTATTATTATTATTATTATTATTATCATTATTATTATTATCATTATTGTTGCTGCCCGTATTATAAGGAAGAAACAGAAGAATAATTTGTGGTGACAATAAGAGCAATCTATCACGCTTGATATTCTAATCGCATGACTATAGTATAAGATTTCTGAGGAATGTTCCCTGTAGTATAATATTACAAGGCTAAACCGATGTTACCAAATAAAATTTAAGATGATGACTAAAATTTCGAAGTACAGTTCTTTATTCGGAGGCGATATCTATTAGTGATCACACGGTTACAGTGTAAAGTTGTTATAGAATCTCTATAGGACGGCAAGGTTGAGGCGATAATGCCCACTATAGCATGAGAAGGTGAATAAAATTTTGTAGATATACACGACCCTATTTGGAAGCGATATTGGTTAGAGCAGACTGAACAGTTGATGCAGAATTAACGAGTGATTTTGGAGTGGCGACAAAAAATAGTTCTGTTTCAGTGTAAGCGATAAGAGGAATATGATAAAAACATTCCTGAGATGTTGTGTTCGTTGAACTTTCGATGAGCGGGGGAATTGTTCAATTATGAGTGGTGTGCTTAACAAATTGATTCACAACCGTTGCATTTGGATCTTGATTAATAAGAGTTTGACTAACTTTATTAATCAACTCAACTCAGTACAACGGAATTGTCGATGTGCGAAATGAATTCTCTGTTCTTTTTTTGTAGTTATCATATTTTGCTGTTGAAAGTTTCATCACTAAAAACTACCACGCATAACGAACTATTCCGTTTAATCGGGATGAATCACGTCGACAAAAGCTGAAAAAATGTTTTTTCTTTCAAAAAATGCAACATTCCAACCGAACGGCATTCCTATGCGTAGTTCTAGCCAAATAAGAAATGGATTAACAGTTTACATGAAATTATGCTGAATGAAAAAATACTAGTGGCTAAAATTGTAATGCTAATAATAATGATGTTAATCATAATAATATTACAGATATGTAGAAAATGAAATAAGAATAACGCTACTATCGATAGTAATAAAGATAACGCTAATATTATTGCTAATGAATCGGAGACTGATGAGTTGTTGTCATTGAATGCTACTCATTAATGCAAGCACGAGTGAGCTTGTATTAATAATTATTGTGCTGCCTCATTGCTTAACCGATTCAAATTTTGCATTGCATCATTTTAATCAATGGTTCCCAAATAGGGAGGGAAATTTTCACTTGGAAGGAATTGAAGGATGTCAGAATGAATTGAGGAGGTTTGGAAATCATTCTTGATTGGTTTTGTTTGCATAATTCTTCTGTTTTGTCCAATACTGGTACCAAAATGTTTGTTTGATTAGAAGAAATTTGTTCCCTTGATATATAATCGAAAGGTAATTTTTGATATACATCTTTCTAACAAGCTTCCTGATCAATTGATTCATTTTTCGATTTTCTTCTGATATGTCGCTGAGAACTGATGGTTCACTGTCAAGTAGATTTTTGGAAAGGATAGGAACGTCGTTCTGACATTGAGCCGAAAGGAAGTGCGGAGTTAAAGAACGTGAAAATCACTGTTCTGGACGATCACTTGTTACTACAGTTGCTTATCGAGGAACAGCCAACCATCGTCATCAAATACGAAATAAATGCGTAACGAGCAACATGTGATTAATGTTGTTCAAGCAGCTAAATCACTGGCAGTGATTTTAAAATAATATTCCTTGTGCGATTCAACCAAAAGTCCCACTCTAAAAAATCAGAAGCAACAAATGGATTTGAAAGGATGCAAAACTTCAGATTTGGTCAACAATAAGATATGTTGTGAATAAACATGATTTTAATACGTCTTCGAAGTACATTTCGAAGCAATGAAAAATTAACGAAGTTTAGATCAAAGTTATAATCGTGATCAAGCGTTTTCAAGTATGAACCAGAAGTTCAACTGAGCACTGATGAACGACTGAGAATATTTGAGGGTGGAATAATTGGGAAGTTGATATGATTTGAAATGATATGATACGGTCTGGTGATGCTAGTGCGTGTGAATGAATGTTAGTCTGAATGCATTTGATTGGCATATATGTTTGTTAAAAAATATATAATTATGAGTATAATCATAAAATGTTTTTGCTTTTTTGAACACTAACTGTTCAATATGGTCGGTAAAGCGGCCGGTTGGCCTTTCAGTAAGATATCATCATTTTGTTGAGGGTGGGAATTATGTGAAATATTTGAAAGGATGAATGCTTGGAATGAAGGAACGAATGAATTTTTTGATGAATAATCAAAATGCTGATCTATCCATTTATCCATCATCAACAAAGCAATGCCAAAAGATGGTCGAATTACGCGTTAATGCTGCTCATTCGTTTCAATTGTTCGTCGCGTAGCAATAACCGGTGCTGGGTTATTGCTTTCTTGATGGTTATCGGCAAAAACATGTAAATACTTGGCGCAACCGAGAACGTTAGTTGAAACGATGCAATCGGTGTTATGATCGATTCATTCGGCATTAGGATCAACGCTACCGTCAACTTTTTAAAGTAATTGAACATTTTGACGTCACATTTTTCTCGATGATGGCTTTCACTTTGAAATTTTCTTTTTTTCGCTGATTCATCCTAGAATACGTCCACTAAAAATCGAAACGTCTCCTATATAAAATGAAAAATCAAATTCTCACAGATTCGAGAACAATAAAATTATATTTCTCACAAAAATAAAATTCACATAGACTGTTTCGCTTGCTTATCGCAAACACTCACACAAATGCATAAAAGCAATGAACACGAACGGTTTTCCCCTTCCGGGGTTTGTCTCATTTCATTCTAGCTATTGAAAGATTATGATTATTCATTTCAACGAAATACCTATCATTATACTGTGGAATAATTTAAACGCACTGCTGCTGGAACAAACAAAGAATCTAAATGAAAAATTAATAAAATGCTCTTAATTCAGTCGGACTTCGTAATCGCTGAGATTCCGAGGTATGCGTGAGCAAGCAGGACCGGAAATGGTGAGAAATTGTAGTACTTTGAAATTATTTAGTAATCATAATGAAATATCTTGAAGAAGTTTATTTAGGGTGCGCCAGCAATGTTAGATTTAGAATGAAAACGCAATCTTAACATTGCATGATCGTTTTGGTTAAAATAATATGAGGTTGTTTTTGATGGTTAAAGTAATCGTTGCTGAAAGTAACAGTACTAATAACAAAAGCAATAATTAATACAAATAACAATGATAATTATGAGCAATGAAACAACACATATTGCACATCAATCTCGACGTACTTCGGAACGCTCATCAAAAATCAAGCATATAATAATCCTAAACATTAAATTTTCGGTCATTTTTTCAGCTGGAATTTTGAATGCGGTCTGAAATATTGCTCGATATTCGAAGCATTTTATATGCTGATTCTATCCCACGTTTGATCGTTTATAATCAACGGAACTTTTTTTGAAGTATTTAACAAAAACAACTAATTGATACTTACAATCTCAGATGCATTTATTAATTCACACAAGTGCGGTGTGAAAATTCTGACAAGGAACAATACATAATTCATTTAAACACTGAACGATATCCTAGTTTTGTTTGAAAGTGATTTAAAATTTCGAGATGTTTCCAAAAAA